TGCGTATGTGTTTGAGAAGAGAAGCTGATGATAATGCTGATGTTGATGCTTTTATTTCCACTACTACATTCAAGACTTTACTAGAGTTGATGGAGTCATTTCGTAGATCTCCCCCAATTCCTAGATATCTTACTTTTCTGTCGGACGGAATAATGTATTGCTTCGCGGATTCAAGTGTTTATGCTACGGCTAATGTTATCACGGATACAGTGCTGAATCCTATTTTTTGCCATTCACGCCTCATTGATCGTGGTCGTATGTGTTGGACGATAGTCCGTAAAGAGCTACTTGCTTGTGTGCAAGTACTGCACAGTTTCAAGGATGTGATTAAGGCTCTCACTAGTATCCTTCCCAATATCAGAGTTCGTCCTCTATTATTTACTGATAATGAGGCTAACTATTACCGTATACGTAAAACTTTAGGTATTTTTCCTAATGTTGAGCCACTATTGAAAGATATGCCTAAGTGGGAAGTTGATAATCTTAGAACTATTGCTGATATATTACTTCAGAATGGTGGTTCAGTATATCACATTCCCGGTAGTATGAATGTGAGTGATATATTTTCGAGAGGTTCATCGCTATATCCACCTTTCCTCGATCATTCCGTATTGGAGTCTATTAATTCTGCCCGCCGCCGGAATGATGATGGTATTGTATCTTCCGTCCCTCCAGTCGTTAATGAACGTAGTGGAGATTATTTTCTCGTTATAGATGATGCTATTGATGATGATCTTAGGAGTAAAATCCTGAGAGAGCAGCGTGTAGATCCCATTCTTAAGCCTTTCTTCGATCAATCTGGGCCCATCAGTTCACGTGTGTTACGTAAGTTTGAGCTAGTTACTGTTGATGAAGATGGTGATCAATCTTATGTGAGGAATCGGGTTACCGGTGCTATTGTTGTGCCATCGAAGTTATGCCGTGAAGTTGCTGAAGTATTGCATCGCTATTTTGGGCATATAAACCATTATCGCCTATTTCGTACCGTAATGGATCGTTATGATTGTGGAAAGGTGCGGTTGTTCCGTTCTATTGAGCATCGTTGCCCTATTTGCATTTGTCAACGAGGCAATCGTACAAGAAGGCATCAGTTAGGTCGCAAACTCTTAAGAACTACTCGTGTCTGGGAGATCGTGGGTATTGACTTGATAGGTCCACATTCTCAACCAGGTGTAAGATCTGCTGATCACGATGGTATCATGGCTCTGATATGCGTTGACAGTTATTCGGGTTACATTGTACAAAGAGTGGTTAAGGATCATTGCCCAGCTAACGCTTTAGTCGAAGCCCTTGACTCTATCATGCTTGAGCATGGATATGTGATGGGTATTTTATCTGATTCTGATGCGAGGTTCAGTTCTTCTGAAGTCGTGGCATGGACCAAAGCGACTGGTATTAGATGGTCCCGTTGTCCAGGACATACGAGTTATCTTAGCGGATGGCATGAAGCGAAACATCACTCTATCAACCGTATCTTACGTGGTCTATTGCAGAAGAGTGGTTCCCCCGGCTTACAAGCTGATTGGTATCGACTTCTTCCTAGAGCTGTTTATTTATGCAATAACGTTTGCCGACCCTCCTTGGGAAGCTCTCTGTTCGCGGTCGATGGTCACTTCATTTATGGTAGAGCTTTACCGCCTATTATATGTCCGTTACGTTCCCTAAGCTCTGAAGGTAAGCAATCTCTTGATGATATGTTACCACTGCCAATCCCTACTACGCGTGAGGTAACTCAACTATTATTAGAATACTATCAAGCTATCACTGACACCCATCAATGGATCACTGAGAACTTGGAGACTTCCTTGAGATCAAGAGATGTTTATGGAGCTACTACTACGTTGAGATCCGATTTCACTAAGCTCACTGTTGGTGATAAAGTCGTCAGATACAACTTTGACTGTCTCAGTCATAAACTCTCTCAACGTTGGCTAAGTGACATCTATACTGTGGTTGGTATTAACGGTGTTATTGCTGCTATCGTCAAGTCTCTTACCGATAATGATGTCAAGTATGAATATATCGGAAATTTGAAAAAAGTTATGGATGTTGAGGATGATGAATGATATGATTATTGTTAGTCAGTCAGTCTTATGCTCATTACGAAGTTATCTTACAGTCGAACATCAGTCCACATTCTCTCTCATTGTCCTGTCGTCCCAACCTCCGACCGAAGCTCCCCCCCCCGGAGTGTTGACCAACTTACTAGTCGCAGCTTATTCTTGCTATCTTGTGCTATCTTGCTCAACTTAGTATAGATGTGTACGTAAGCACATAGTGAACATAAGGCCCACATTGACGCTTTGTATACTGCTGCATCTCAACCTACTCTGCATTGAGTTCTACGAGTTATACATTGACAACTTGACCAACAACGTTAGCTGTCCGCGCACGCCCACTGCACATGCGTCAGGTAGTAGCTGGCAGCTACACATGGTTTTTAGATAACTCAAGTGAACTTGGTCCTATGGTTAGCCTGTACCCCTATATATCCATCGACACCATGCAGTTGCAGAGGAGCCTGATCATACTCGTTATGGGGCTCTGCGCGCATTCATGTGCTTACGTGACGCCTACATGACGCTCAGGAGAACCGTCCCTCTACTTTTGAGTCACTCACTAAAGTCTCCATAGTTCAGCTACCTCTAGAATCTCATCAGTACTCATGTTTTCAAGATCGGCCTGATGCTAGAAGAGTACGAAAATCGTCCTCAGTCCGGAAGTTTCATTCGCTCATCAGTAATCGATTCACATGCTGTACTGTGGGCCATAGTACAGGATGTGAATTGATTACTATGCCAGTCTACTGGCCATAGTCTATGGCCAGTATTGTAATCGGGACAGTTACGCGCCACCGCGGTAGGCTGCCGCGGCAGCAGGGCTTGTCTCCCTAACTGCCCTTCAGTTTGATGGTATTGTGCCCTTTTACGGAGCACCTTGACTGGGATGTGTTAGGGGATTGTTGCGAACTCCAACTTTTTACTCCTTCAAGTTTATAGTGTTTTGTCAAGGCCTGCTACCTTTCTTGTGCGTCTGGGTCTGCGTGCCAGCTTGCATGTGTATACGGCTGTGGTATCAGATTCACTGTTGCACGATCAATGTTGTTGATATGGGTACCGTAGCCATCTTGGCTCAAGTTTTAATTGTTATCCACAATGGCTGGGCCAGCTAGGCAGCCTGGCGATGCCTTGAGTTCTTCCCAGTCTTCCGACGATGCACAGACTCCTCGCAGTCTCACCTCTCGTCATCTTGGTGTGGATACTTCTGGGTCTTTTGGGAGCAACGGTACACATACGAATCGTATGATACGATACGCCCCATCAGACACACTATTTCAAACCTTTCTAATGAGGCTCACAGAGTAACAACGTGGCCGAAAGGCTTCTAGTGACGAATACTAGCGGTCCGCGAATCGCGGGTCTATCCCTCAAGGGAAGTTCTCGTGAAGGGGCATGGAGGCCGTTTCCGCGAGCCATCTTGCTAGAACGAAAACCGCAATAGGAGATTCAATTCAGCCGCAGAAATGTGGACTCCGTTACGAATATCATACAACCAAACATTCAGAGAATCTCCAGACTAGAGACTCCAGTAAGGATGTGCTTCCGACGATGTATCGGACTATCTCAATCGAGGGTGTTGATGTAGCGTATTATCGTCCATACTGCACCAATTGAGAATTACCATCTCGTACGTCATTTCCCAAACTGCGAACGCGATCCATATGAGCTGAGCAGAACCAATAGATATCCTGATTATTGGACAGCATGCTCAATGATAGTGTAAGTCATAACGATCGAGCCATATATTGAACTCGGGCCATCTACAACACATCAACACGAAGTATCATGGTCCCGGTAAGTGAAGCGTGTGCGAGTCGCACAGTGCGACCAGACGTACCAATATAAAATTCCTCACCTCAGAGCGTGAGTTCGAAGACGTCTCAGAACGCATCATGCCTGTGATTTGCTGTATCACTTATAGGCGAAATCCTCGGGACCCAAAATTTCTGTTCGAAATTTTCCACAATATGCAAACACATAACACAAACTTTTCGGTGTTCTGCTAAGAGATACGAGAAACGGACCCCAAGAAAAAATTTTGAGAAATCGACTACTCTGGGGCTGATTCGTAGTTTCTTCGTGTGTTTCTATAATGTATATCGGATCGTACTACTGATACTGCACAGGAATATCAATTCGTCCATCGAATTCTGTCACATCTGCCTCAAGAAGTAGTCGTAGCCTACGACTCGTAGGCTACTTCAGACTCTGAAGTGAGCTCTATTTCGACGAAATGCGGAAATCAATTTCGCTGATAGGACATTCAATTTCGCCTAAAGAATCGTTATGCCTATCATCATATGCCAAACTCAGATAACAACTCTGACGAACGCACCGTCGATATTGCGACGTCATTGAGTTCTGCCACATGTTTCCAATCTTGCCCTCCCTGCGCCGCCCTCACAATATCCTCCCTGCGAAATTCATCTAACTAAACGCGAATTAGGCCTTTAAAAGGTGTAGAATAATCATACAAGATATATGTATCACAATAAGCACGGCTGGTGCGAGTACTCGTCATATCGTGTTGGTGTCATACGTGAGCCTCACGTCGTAAGGAGGGAATATGCCCTATTCAATAGGGGTATTCACATGTGGGGATGCAGAAAAAATTTATTGGCCGTTCTTCCGCCGACTTTGACGAGTACTAGCACGAGCCTTACCCGTTGTGATACTAATACCTTGGCATGTGCTGGCGACGGTGATAATGCTGGCGACGGCGACGGTGATGCCCGAATGCAGTCGTCATAGGATAGTTGTGGTTGGTGCTCTCTGAGATCAACAACTCCATGTGCTGGCGCACATGGAGCGGCTCCATGTCTGGGCATCTTCGATCGATTGTGGTCTGACGTTACGCCACTGGCGTGGAACGGGCCAGAACTGTAATTAGTATGGAAGAGCGCTTTAGGACTGTTTACTGTAGCTTTCTTCATCGAATCCATGTTCAATCGCCTTCTCCAGCTCATACTCGTCGGTGTTGCTCTATCCAACCAGCCTGATGGTTCATATGTCAAGACCGTGAGTGATCCTTATCTGAATTTGATGTATACATTCTCGGACAATACTCAAAGAATGGAGATTACTTTCTTTTGTGGGTTTGGTGTCAGACCAACTAAGGCGACCTTTGCTGTCCGTAAGCGTTCTACAAGATACCTACGACGAATCCTGGTTGGACCGCCTTCTTAGATATCTTTGAGGTCAAATGCCCAGCGTACAAACCTCTGAAGGGAGGTGACTTGTGGATTATTACCTACGATAGTAAGTTCGACCACCCGCATGTTTCGGTCAAGGGCGAGCTCTTGAAGCTGGTACACAAAGAACCCCCTTCCCATTAGTTGATAATTTCCGACACTTGAATCCTCAGCGTATCAACCGCTTCGGTTTATCATTATTCAGACTTTTGTTGGGCGTCCAGTTTGCGATTATTATCTCAGTACGTTTAATAACTCTGGATGGTCCCTCTCCAGTTCCGGAAGCTATCTCAGACCTTACCGTGACGTAGACTGACCGAGTGTTATAGTGATCGTAGTTATCTCGTTGAGTCTTCATGAATATTGATGACGCTTCGCAGCATCCGTACCATATCTCTCTCGCCTTTCCTTTGGTATAGGCAATGTCTACTGGTAAGCGGATCAATATTCTTTCCCACGCTTTACCTTATTTCCCGTACGTCTGAGTGATACTGTCACAGGCAGACCCAGGCTCTTTCATAGATCCTTGTCATGATTTCATCAACAGGAGGATATCAGCTGAGTGGTCAACGCCTCTCATCGTGAGTACAATAGAAAATCTTCGTATACGTACCCCTTCGTTCGGCGCTCTACGCGGAAACACATTAGTAATGTCACACTACTCCCCTCGCCTTACGAACGGTATCATTTCTTGTGTACTTCACCTCCTTAACCTTTGGGATCGCCTTGTGTTACTCCAGTCAGGGGACAGCTTCTAGCGGAATCTGAACTCATCCTGAAGGTGAGATGGAGATGTCACATTCACAGTGAATGATTCACTCAGTGAATTTCACTGAGACCTCCGATAATATGGGAATAAGGGAATATGAGCGTAATGACGTTCCGTTACCGCCTACACATTGTACCAATTCGTTGATCACAGTATTAAGGCACCAACGTGAAACTCCTCATGGCAGCCGTCGGCGACAACAACGCTGGGGCAACAGGACAGAAAAATAATCCAATGCATTAGATGCGACAGATAGAATATGAGTAATCGAATAGAAGTAACTTTTCGAGACTATGATAGCGACAAGTTGTTTACTATCATCAATTACGGAATAGAAAACACACATTCTGCACATTGGTTACCAATAATATATATACTATATATTGTTGATTAGCATGTGCTGTGGGCCCAGTTTGCCTGCACCCTTGTAATCTCATCAAACCTTCGCCTTCCTCAGTATAGCGAATGAGCCCAATATCGATTACTGTGCTGCTAAGTGTGTATTCGTACAGAACTTAAGTGCAGGTAGTGCGCTTATTGTTATTGTCCAAGGGTCGTAGTATTGGTTGCTCTAGCTCAAGTTCCCTTGTTGTGTTGTTCTTAGAGTTCATCAACCGATACCCCGACACATGCTCTAACGTGTGTACGTGAGGACTATCGCATGCGTGCTGCTGCATAACTTCGCACGTATGTACAAGCGGAGGAGTTGAACTAGTTGTTATTGTCGGGGCCTCCGACTCGGAGGTATGAGTCTACTACTTGTTAGTTCGTTCTTACCTGATATCTTGTCTACCGTGTTGGTAAATCCATAATAATATCAAATTGGCACGCACTCTATGTGCCGGGTTCCCCCCCCCCCAAAAAAAAAATCTTGCATTATCTGAAATTTTCCGCCCGAAATCTATCATTTTTCGGAATTTTAGGAGGACGAACCTCTTGGTGATAGTTTTGTAATTGTGATTCTCTCCTAGTTTCCTAGAGAAACAGAAAATGTTTTTTTCTATTTTTGATTTTCTGAATTCATTTTCTAACGATATTCAACTGCATCCAATTAACCCCACTTCCATTCTGGCGATAAGACTCAGAGCATTCACGGAACATGTCAACTCTCAACTGCTCCCATACCAAACCTCATACCATTCGAAAGGTTTTATAAAGGGCTCCCAGATGGTGTCAGAGATGTTGGAAGACTCGCCGGAACTCACGAGAAGT